TCAGTTAGGCCAAACAAAAGTCTAAGTTTGTTTCCTATTAGACCTTGTCAGTTAGGCCAAACAAAAGTCTATGTTTGTTTCCTGACAGACCTTGTAAGTTAGGCCAAACAAAAGTCTATGTTTGTTTCCTGATAGACCTTGTAAGTTAGGCCAAACAAAAGTCTATGTTTGTTTCCTGTTAGCCCTTGTCAGTTAGGCCAAACAAAAGTCTATGTCTGTTTCCTGTTAGACCTTGTCATTTAGGCCTAACAAAAGTCTATGTCTGTTTCCTGTTAGACCTTGTCAGTTAGGCTAAACAAAAGTCTATGTTTGTTTCCTGTTAGACCTTGTAAGTTAGGCCAAACAAAAGTCTATGTTTGTTTCCTGTTAGACCTGCCTGCTAACGACTCTTAAACTGTATTCCAAAATACAGTAAAATTGTTTTTTTAAACATAAGCGAAAAATAACTCTTTTTTCATTATTGTTTAACCATTGGACAATATGGAATGTCATCACACAATGAAACAGATGATTATTACTATAGTAATCTACATGGACGACAGATATCATATTCTATTGATTGAATGAAAATTATCAGGGGTGTACAACTTCATGTTTCACTACTGGTTGCAAGAAAATATTGAAAAATTCTTGCCAAACTTTTATCACAATATAAGAAACCTTTCCTGTAGCCTGATATAAATTCTGCTAACCATGGATGACCAGCTGTGGAATTGTACACCCTGGGGGGTATATCCCTGACATAAATACTGCTAACCATGGAAGACCAGCTGTGGAATTGTACACCCTGGGGGGTATATCCCTGACATAAATTCTGCTAACCATGGATGACCAGCTGTGGAATTGTACACCCTGGGGGGTATATCCCTGACATAAATACTGCTAACCATGGAAGACCAGCTGTGGAATTGTACACCCTGGGGGGTATATCCCTGACATAAATTCTGCTAACCATGGATGACCAGCTGTGGAATTGTACACCCTGGGGGGTATATCCCTGACATAAATACTGCTAACCATGGAAGACCAGCTGTGGAATTGTACACCCTGGGGGGTATATCCCTGACATAAATACTGCTAACCATGGACAACCAGCTGTGGAATTGTATAGGATTGGTTTACATAAACGTTTAATTGAAAATCAATAAAATTAAAACTCATATATATATATGGACAGCCTGGTACATTAGAAACCAACATTATCATGTCAGGCCTATCATGCTAACAAATGATGTATTTTGGATCCTTATGCTAAAGGACATGCGTGCTTGCATGTCTGAACATCTTATGTCTGTAACGGTTTGTTAGAACGGAGGTACACAAATGCATTCATCGTCACTGTCTGTGATTGCCTTTGTTACTGCTCTAGTCAGCAGTCTGGAAGTGTTAAAGGATGTCTAACAACTAAATACTGTCTATAATGTTGTCTGTATTTGTCGCAAAAACAGCACTTCAGTGCTAATTGTGTTATTGTTTTAAATATGTGATGTTAAATAAAAAATCTTGTATCTAATATACCTCTCTAATGTAGAATTTGTTTTGCTCTATTAGACAGCTAGCTGTCTTACCAGGACTACTGTAGACAGTTTAGTGATATAAATGTATCAAAATATCTTTCAGGATAAGAGTTACCCGGTACTTATTTTTTTCGTGAGATACATCATGAGAGCAGGTAAATCAAGTTGGGTGTTCTACAGATTTCTCGTGGATTTCAAAAATTGGAATAACACTAGATAGTACTGAACATCGGTGATCAAGCTACAAATATTATTTCCATCAGGCTTTTTGGACAGTATTGCTAAAAACAATAAGGTCCCACAATGTTGAATTTAAATATTTCAAGAAATTCTATGGGTCCCATCAGAATTCTATCAGTATAAGACTCAGTACTCATGTACATGCAGATTTATCACTTGAACATTGGAACCTCCAAGAATGGTCATTGTTTTTGAGAAAAGGTACAATAAAAAGTCATTTTAGAGTCCTAGCCAGTAAACAGATTTTGGAGAATTCCACAGGCCTGGCCTTTATATTCTTATCATAAATATTGAAAATTTTCATTAGCCCTTACATAAAAAAAATAAAAAAATAACTAGTATTGGATACAAGGTTATACTCCTGAATAATTTACAACAGTAAAGTTTATATTGCCAGAATTAAGTGCATGGGACCCACTATTCCATTACCTATGTAACGTAAATTTAAAAAGCAGATTTTGAAGTGAAGCACATGACTTTTATCATATGAATGCTTCTAACAGGCCCTATGAAAATTGCAAAAAGATGTTTGAGACTCATGCATCAAAATTCTTTTCCGTCTAGATCCCTGTTTAAAACAGAAAGTGTACGCTAGTTGTCAGTCTACATCTACCAGCACGATTACTGCTGTCGTAAAAACAAATATTTGGGGTCTTCAGCGTGGTGCCAGTTTATTATGATAATCACACAGAGATATAGCTAGCTTCAGTTATAACAGTCATCTTACAAATACTAGCCACATTCCAGTGATACTGTACAAGTCGGTGAGTTGGCCAGACGATTCTGTGAATCAGTTATATCACTGTAGTAGTAGTCCCTCCTAAGTAATGGGAGCTGCTCTCTGACAAGTCAGAGACGTTAACTTGAATTACACCGAGTGCCAACCACAAAAAACATACTCGGGGAGCATGCGAGTGAAGGGTGTGCAATTATAGACAGACAGCGAAAATTAGTTACATGTGTATAATTGAATAAGATAAAGAGGCACCAATCGGGAGAACTACAGATCACTGCACAAAGATATCACAGATAATTGTAAAACTAAACCTTTCTATTTAATAAATAGGGGATCTGTTCTTGGATATTGAAAGATCACATCAAAATCTAACAGATGACTGATGAAGTCTAAAAGTACAGATGTACTGGAATTATCATCTGAATTAAGATAGAAATCATAATCATTTAAGATTTTGCTTCATGAGGTAATCTTACTTTAATCAATTTGTTACTTTTCGAAACAATAAAAAGGAAATTTGGATTTTAGTTAGAAAAATCTACCACTCAGAAAGCAGACAATTAAGGAACACTTCGCTCTGATTCCACATTTTCATTTGCAAGCCATTCTACTGATAAGAGTGGTTTACTATTGAAAAAAATACATAATAATTTAAGCTAGTCATATAATTCTGTTTGACAGTCATGTCTGATTTTTTTTTTCTTACAAGTTAACCCCCAATAAAGTATTCTTCATATTAAAAAATCACTCACAATAGTCGTAAATCATGTCTACATTCTCTTAATTATGACTAATATGCTATATATAGCTAGACTGAAGTTAAACAATATTTTCTGAACTTAAATTTTAGTTAAAGTTAAAGGTTAATATGATTAGATGTTGATGCAATATTGGTGAAGTCTGAGCTTAGTCAGAGATTTGCTAAGCTGTACATACGAGTGAGCCTGCATTTAGAAGTCAAATCTAAATTTCAATTTAAAGAAATTTCTTTGGACATCAATTGGTCTTTATGTCATGAAGAAATTTTACTAGTAAAACTACTATCGGAAAGACATTAATTCAATACGTACTAAGAGTATGGCCTATATGATCAGAATTATTGCCTGTATCACATCCAGAAAAAGGTATCATCAGCTAAATTATGTTATACCTCAAGGGAGATAACCAAAACTAAGTTCCTTTATGGTGCAAACATATGAACAAACCTTGTTAGGTTTTCCTAAAAATTACCTGAATTTCAAGTGTTTATGGCAGCTGGTAGTGGTATATCTATTTTTATAATGTAAGTAGGATTTGAACAACAACCTTGATGGAAATGGGGGGGGGGTTGCAGAGCATTTACTCAGTACTTGAAACATGGGTTGGTCACATGCTCCAAATGTAAAAGGATTGAATAAATAGATTGCCAGTAACTTGTGACCCTCCAAATTCTAGATCAACAGGCACTCTATCAACTGGGCTGTCTGGTTTCTGACGATCGACCCAGCCCAGTTCAGCTACATTAGTACCTACAAATGTATCCAAATAATATTGTTGACATTAACAATATTGCAGAAACTGGTCAGTCTTTTCCTCACCAATTGTTTGTATGATACTTTTTCTCGCTGGAGTCGACAGGTTTAAGATATGAATGGCATGTGATGGGAAAGGGGTTAGCTAGGGTGCTGGAGGGTCTAATTCCAGTTAACACCGATATAATCTGACAGCTACTATTGTCACAGCAACAGGGCATGTTTAAAACACTGTTGTGCAGTTCCCAACCGTATGTGTAAACAAGACTACTATTCTGTAGAGACACCTTTTTTGAAGGGTAGGAAATTAAGGCCATTTCCATCTGGAACTTTTGTGAAACATGTATTCGTGTGCATGTTGACGATAAAAAGTAAGATGAAAAGTTACGGGGCATTACTACAATTTTCCATTTAACAATTGTCAGTAAAACAATTAGTAGAAATGCCACACTGAAATGGGCTAATATGACTGATGATAGGAGGATTTTCCATTAGAGTCTGAACCTCAATATAATTATATATTGCATAATACATGCATTAATCAGTTACATGGTGTCGACGCATGGGAAACAATTAGGATTTCATAGTCAGGGTATCGAAAACAAGAAAACACACACGAAAGAAAACAAGGGTCACTTACCATCTCTCACTCTCAGCAACTGGTCGAAATATTTGGCACCGAACTCATAAATGTTTTCTGGTTGATTTCTCAACACTTCCCGTGCGAGACCTTCGAGAATGTTTTGGAAACCTTTAGGCACTCGGAGTTTTGTGTTTGAAAATGGAACTGCCATTTTTGTTCAATCTTATTCCTTTTTATAACTGTAGAAGCACCTATTCTTCACTTGACAACAGACCAAGCGTGTTACTTTGGGTAAATATGGCAGACTAGTTTGTGACTGTCGCTATAACGACGAAGCCAAACAGGTATAAAAGGTGGTAAAATGTAGAGGCATTCCGAAAAAAATCATCATCTTTCAAACGTTTCTCGGGCAGGTGCCCCGCGCTATGAAGAATCGACGTAATATCGACGGGGACTCTCCAAAGAGCATGCACCATGGAAGAAATTGACGAAACATTGCGGGAAACGTGTCCCATGTAAGTATGAAATTGACAGTTTTCCCAATACAAAATTTGTTACATTTAAGAATTACATATCAGATGTTTCGAATGGACATATTGTCCAACCATTTCTCGTTGCAGATCCCATAAATACGATAGAATACTAGACATGAAGGCAACGTTCAGAAAACGTTTCGTTTGTAACTTTCAGTTTCTCTTTCACTGATGGAAGTGGCTATTTACACGGCTGCCGGCCGGTACCGAGAACGCGAAAGACTAACTAACCCGGAGAGACTTCAAACTGATATTTTAGAAACAAATCGTCACTTTCACACACATGTCGCACATGGATTGAAAGATCTATTCTTTATGCACAAGATGAACATACATAATCTTTATGCACAAGATGAACATACATAACCTGCCTCATACAACTAATACAATCACTAAAAACATATTTTTTCAAACTTACATATTTTTTCAAACTTACTCTGTTTTACTCTAGTTTTTTGATAGCCCCGCCTTCCAATGCCACGTGACTAAAATCTCGCCGGCCTACGTCCATAACGTTGGGAAATACCTTCGGTAACGCGAGATCTTGTCAAGTCATGTGACATTTCTCATGGCTTAATTTCCATAAAAAACATGAGTTGGTATAGAAAACGTTGGAAAATGCTTTTCGTGATGATCTTTGAAACATGTTATTGATACCATCTAGTGCATAAAGAATAGATCTTTGATCCATGTGCGACGTGTGTGAAAGTGACGATTTGTTTCTAAAATATCAGTTTGAAGTGCGCTCCGGGCGCGGGTCGCATATTTCCCCGCATATTATAGAGGGCCGGAGTTCTGAGGTAAATCGACGACAGACCGATATGAAAAAAGTTGATAAAACGTCAGAATAATTAGGACTACCGGCTGCCGGGGGAATAGCCTTAGCCTTCAATGATTCTGATTCGCACGGGTCATTATAGGAATAAAACAGGGTTCGAATTTAACCAGATTTTCTACTTGCATTTTTTCGCAAGTGGTATTTTTTCTTACTTGCTAAATGAGAAAACAACTTGCAATTTGCATTTTTCCAACTTTATTAGATATGTTAACTTAGAATTAAATTCTAAAACAACACAGTATTAACTGACATTTTAAATTATGGTCATTGGGATGAATACATGACGCAAACATTGCTGTGAAACGATGCTGGCCTGCTCAGGCTATTCTAAGATAAAGCATAAAAACTGCATCTTAGTTTCTTGCTCCATATAGTAGAGTATTTGGTCTTTTCTGTCTTTGTCCCGACAACCACCATCTTGTCACAGCAGGTTTTGGGTCATACTCTCTAAGGGCAACATCAGCAACTTGTCCATTTGTTATTTTGCCGGTGCAGTGAGCTGTGAAATGTAACCTTGGGAAACCCCAATACAACCACATGACTAGTCAAGCCTATCGTATTTGCGCTATAAATAGTAACTAAAAATAGATTCCCGAAAAACATCATGCATGCGGTATACGTCATCATTATTTGTGCAGGTACTTCCTAATGGACATGCGCACGGGACATGTATCGATTGTAAACTTCTGTTAATGACAAAAGCGGAATCATTCATTCGGCGATTGACAAGAATGCGCTTAAATGACCGCGAGAGAATTTGTAAAGACCGACCATTAGAAATGAGGATTATTCAGCCCAAAATTTTCACTCGCAAAAAAATGCTGGTGTCTGAAATCTCTACTCGCAGTTTGCAATTTGCACTCGCTTTTCGCGAGTATGCGAGCTTAAATTCGAACCCTGATAAAAGAACATTAGTATATGTCATCTTTTGTTTAAAAGTCTTTGAGGTTTCGCGATGAGTTTCATAAATCCCACGTGAAGTTTAAACACATTCAAGATCCTTTTGATCACATTAATGAACACCATGAAGGGTATAATATTACTGAACAGTTATTTTACTTCTGATTAATTATCCATTAAAGGTCTATAATTAAACAGATTTGAAATGAACATTTTGCAGTGTACCACCTATTTTCAAGTGCAATGATATTAATGTAATTAATGTTCACAATCATCATTCCAATCAAAATGTAAAAATCTCTGGCTACAGTTTTTATATGTTCTAACATGGAAGCTGGCGGTTGTTTGTAAAAGCCTTAAAAGACTTGTGTTGCCATGTTTATAATACTTGACTTGACTGGGTAAACATACTTTTGGCTTGTTACAGATGTTTGAAAAATGAAGCAAAATACACTTGTCCACGCTGTAATGTGCGATACTGTTCTGTGCTGTGTTACAAGGGAGAGAAACATATGGAGTGTTCTGAGTCCTTCTACAAAGACTGCTTCATTGATGGTCTGAAGGATCGCTCATGTGGGTGAGTTACAGATCACTGTAGTGAACTAAGGAAAGTGAGTATACATGAATAAGTAATGCAAAAAAAGTTATCAAAGACAAAGAGTTGAAATACATATATACTAGTAAATATAGGTAAAAGACTTTTTATGACACTCGCTTAGGCGGATGTGACACACAACAGTCTAAGGAGAATCTAAAAAACCTTGACCGTCAGGTATCTGGAACAGGCGGATTGATCATCTACAACACTATTATGAAGTAGATATACAGCATGCACAATATACAGGAGCAGATCTAGCTAGATATCTCTTTTTTATGGCATCATGATCACCAAGCATGTGAAAATAAGTTTCTACACACAGCACAAGGGATTCTGTTTATTCCGTTTTTGCGTATTGCAGAGTTATCTTCTCTTGTGAGCAGGTATTGATTGTTACGTCATTGGTTTGTGTGAGAAAATTTGTTTGTTTTCTCAAAAATTGATGATGTTACTCTCACAAACAAATGACGTAACAATCAATACCTGCTCATAAGAGAAGATAACTCTGCGATACGCAAAGACAGAATAAGAAATATATATTTGTCTTTAGGTGAAAATTTCCCGGTATACAGTATATATAAAAGGATTTTTGTATAAATCTAACATGCAATATTAATGCCAGGTTTCAGTTTTGTAAACAATTTATCACAAAAACTGTTTGTGATATCACCTTTTAAAAGTATTAAATGTTATTGAATGCTAAGCTCAGTGATTTCAATGTGGCAAAAGGTTCAATTTTATTTTGAATTGCAGACCTGAAGAGAAAACAAAAATCATGGAAATGTTATCTAGAGTGGAAAAAGAAACTGAGGAATTGGATGTGGATGGAGGTGAGTTATTTCTCTTATTGCAGTGGGATATAATTTTTAGTCTTGTCTTTTCGATCAAAGATGTAGAATTTACAGCCAAATATTAAAGATTTAAATCAATTAAATAAACATTTGAAAACTTTAGTTAAAACTGATTTCTTTGAAAGAACTAAGGACCAGGTTAGTAAGAGAGGAGGGAAATGTAGTCATCTCACGTTTCCCTTTAAGGAGTTTAGGGAAACAATTGTATGCTATACTACATATGATCATACAATTGATGTCTTGTTTCAGATGAAGAGCCAGATCTCGGTGAAAGACTTGAAGGCCTGGATTTAGGTAATTTAGGGGGCCGCAGTGGCCAAGTGGTTAAGGTGATCATGGTGTCTGCACTGGAATATCATTTATAGTCTGGTCATTTTGATAAAAAATGTAGAATGTATGGCCTTCTACGTATACGATCACTAGCCCTCCACAACTGGGTCACTGGTTCGAGGCCTACGTAGGACAGTCACCATGCAGGTACAGGGTCAGTGGTTTTCCTTCGGTACCCTGGTTTACCTCCACCACCAAAACCTGAAAAGTCCTTTAATCACCATAGCTGTTTATAACAATGGGGTCATGATTATTCTGTCAGAAGAATATATTTAAGTCCATTAAACAATTGAACAGGACACCTTAATTGAGTTGTGAAACACATACAATGTGATTCTTTTATAGTTATTTGATTCTTAGCAAATGAATAATTAATGTTTTAAATCAAAGGAAAACAAATTAGAATTTACATAATATCAAACATTTGATGTCTATATATAATTGTAAGAGGTTTCGTTCAATGAGTCAAACATACATTCAGTAAAATTCATTAACAAGACTGACTTTGAACTATCCAGTGCATGCACATTTACCAAATTAAACAAAAGGTCTTAGTATATCCTTCTCTTATACAAACATCTGTTACCTGGAATACGAGCGAAGGTCATTTATTTGAACAAACTTGGTAGCCCTTCATCCAAGTTTGCTTCTGGCCAAATATCATTACCCTGAGCCTTTCGATTATTAAGAAGTTGTTTATAGTAAAAAATTGACGCCAGACGACGGACGGACGCTGTGTCACGGCATAAGCTCACTTGGCCCTTTGGGCTAAAAATGAATATGTTTCTCAAGACGTTTTGATACAACTGATAAAACATATATTCTTTTGAATTTTGTAAACTAAACTTATTTTTAGCATTTTTAGGTCACCTGAGACAAAGTCTCAAGTGACCTATTGCGATCGCCTTTTGTCCGTCGTCGTTCGTCGTCCGTCGTCCGTCGTGCGTNCTCTTGTTCTGAAGAGTTGTTTACTACTTCATTTACAAAATCAGGTGCCATTTCTTTAGCACAACATTTTAACAAATTTGTACAAATTTTGTCAAGCCCCATTGCTTTTAGTGACATCTACCAGTATGTTGCTTTCAAACCTATCTTAAAGGTTACAGGAGCCATATTAGTAAAAGAACTTATTAATAAACTGTACTTTGTTCTGTAAATAACCAAAAGGTCTACAGTCATGATGTCAGGCCAGTAACTGCCTGCATGGAGTGGTACAAAGCATGTAAAAGGAATACCCTTGAGATTTCTTAAATGTTAAACTAGTCTAGTGTGATCAATGTTCAAATGACTTCTTATAAAGAACTAAAAGGCCTAGACAATGATAATTGGCCAAAAACTTGTTGGCATGAAGTATGTGCTATATAGTTTGAAAAGATAGGCCACTCTAAGCAGATGAGCACCTAAAGGTCCATTGGGTCTTTGATATTTTGGGAAATATTAAAAAATACCCATCTGTCTTAGCAATTAAATTAATTAGATTAAGTCAAAGTTGATTAGTTCAATAAAACTTTGTATGATTTCTCTGACAGATGGTGATGCCGGAGCTATCTGGAAGCGATTGACAGAAAAGGAAAGGAACGAGTTTGACCAGATGACCAAGGATGGACGTCTGGGTCACTTGGTGGAAGTGTGGACCCCGTGGTGGACACCCCAGGTTGGTTAGCTTATACTGGAAAATTTACACCAAAGTTTAATTTTTGCGTCTTTCACTCTCTGTCACAAGGGCAAATTTATAATTACAGCAAGCATTAATAAACAACATGTTATACATAGTAATTTAATTTTACGGGCGAAAGTTTGACTGGGCAAAATTACAGACAGTAGAACCTATACAGTGCTAGCATTAATTTTGGTTAATAATAAGCTTTCAGTATACAATAGAGTTTATTCCATAAATAAATGTCTTAAGACTTATATATGGTTACACAGGGAACCAAGCAATATATAAATTACAAACGTTGCACCATTTGATACATTTTTGTAGGTGTCCATTACAGTTCTATAACATGGGTATACTTACAGGCTAAACAGCTGATCCAGGACGAGGATGACCACACGGTCCAGTCACAGAAGTTCCCTAAGGTCAAGGTCGACATCGTAGATCTGGCAGTGTTGCTTCCTGTATGTGTTCATACTAAGTACCGATATATAGTCTCCGTTCAATTTAGCTCTGCTGTATTAAAGCGATGGCCTCAGGCCTGTGGCAACCTTTACTGGACAACTTACATTAACATGTGTAGGCTTGGTGGCTTAAAAGTATCCAGGTGATAGTGCATGATTTCTTAAAAGTTCCTAGCTTGAATCGTTATGATGCTGGTTTTCTGCCAGATTTCATATTATCATGCGTTTAAACATTTGAGCAATTCTCTATGTATATAGTGATCAGTAGACAGATGTTTTCACTCGTCAAAATACAAATTTACACGGGTGTTTATTTTTATAAATTTTTGAAACATGAAAATGTAGCCTTATCAGCTCAACTTTGATCACAGAGATAGAATCTGAGTTGGTGAAATATTTACAACACTACTTTCAATGAAAATTGCTTCAATATACAGGTGAGGAATACAAGCCCTCTGCCTCTTTTTTATATTTAACACAGCTAAGTGATACAGGTCCTCGTGGCCTCTTGTTTTATATTTCATATAGGGAAGTGATATATGCCCTCTGGGCTAATTCTATATTTACACCTGGATCGTAAAAATCAACAGGTGAGAATTAATGACATGTAATAACCAATTGATATACATTGTAGTAAAGATTCTGTTATGTTGAGATTATGTTGTTGTTCTCCAGAAGTCCAAGCCATCCAGTGGGGTGAAGTACAATGTGGTGGGAGCGCTGTATGCCTACTGTTTTGTGTGTCGGCTTCACAACGGAGGTCACTGGGATACACCTGTGGAATCAGCACAGGTAATAAACATACAGAAGTACCTCAATCATTACTGGTGCATAACATAAGTGGTTTGTGTAAGAAATATCTCCCTTATAAAAAAAACTCTGTATCAAACTGGGTTCACTCATCAAGGCTGTTTGGGGCTTAACCAATATTTTTGCTTCAACATCTTCTATATTATTAGAAGTCTCATTCAATTGAATAACTTTAATTTGTTTCAGGAGTTTATATGAAAATTTGTGCATAAAATAAAGGGTCAGGATTGCACACAGACATTGTACTTAAACCATTGTCATGTGCCGTCTTTCAATTTAAAATGTTAAGCTCAATCTAAAATTCCAGTAGTGAAACTTTCAAGGAATAATCCTAAGATGGTGGAGACCTGATGTTGCTATTTTTTCTGATCCATCCCGAATCAAAGATGGCCGACATTACAAATACTAAAAAACGTATTACAACCTTCAGTTAAAGTAGTTCGGGTATTTGACATTGCATGTGCTTAAATTTCTTGGGATCAAACTGTTGTAAAGTTGAATTTCTTACTGCACCATTATAGTCAACAGTCCTTAACCAACACTTGAGTCGTATGGGCAGCAACTACGTAAGGCGTATGTGAGAGTGTATAAGACCACTTACACCTTATCCTGGAAAACCCATACAGCACAGAGTTACATTAATTCATAACAGTTATCACACCTACACTGGTATGTTAAAACAACAGTTGACTCCATGACTTCATTTCCTTGTTTCTGTTATTACCAGACAGCCTAGCCTAGGATAAAATGTTGTTTTTTAAAAACATAGGGAGGGTTATTGTGCTCTGTCATGCTGTCACATAAACCCCACTATTCTAACTCTAACCTACTCTCTGTGGTGACTAACAGGAAGCTATATAAAGACTGACCCCCTGGCTGTTTGTTTGAGTGGTTTTACATCTACTTCACTACTGAGTCATTAGATTATCCAGCAGACAACACAACCCCCTGACTTGGGTCCGTAGAACTTCTAAGCAGACAACACAACCCCCTGACTTGGGTCCATAGAACTTCTAAGCAGACAACACAACCCCCTGACTTGGGTCCATAGAACTTCTAAGCAGACAACACAACCCTCTGACTTGGGTCCATAAAACTTCTTAGCAGACAAACCTGTTATTTAACATCCTTGCAAAGGTCAAAAAGTGGTCTCTCAAAACAGGTGGTCTCTTTATTAAGAGAGGTCACATTAACAGGTTTGATTGTAATTGTTAACATCTACATGTATAAGTTAAATCGAGATGAGGGGGCTCATAGACCCCCTGCACATCTATGACCAAGTATTAAATAAAGAGTAGCTGAATTGTGTCATTTCAGTAAATATTTACCAACTATTGTACATAAGCTCACAGCGTATCCGAATCGTCATCGATTTTGTGGACAACTCGTACACATTGTATACCTTTGGGTGCATATACTTCATAATCTATATTTACCAACCTGAAGAAAGTGTTAAGAAATACATGTATAAGGATAAAGGTGGCTCACTGGGGTCCCTGGCCTGACCACTGACCTGAGACAGCTGAGCCAGAGTTTGTTTGAGTGGTTTTACGTTCGCTTTGTAGCAGTCTAGTATGTTATAATCGTGTGAAGCTAACATTGTTGTCTATCTTGTATTTTATTGCAATGCACTATGGGTAATCAAGCGTGTTCGTGCCGTAGCCATCCTTGTTGTTGACAAGGTGTTACAGTCTTCACTAACGAATAGTTAAAAAAAGGTCCCCTATTTGTATACAGTACATCTTGCAGTTAAACAACTGCCAAGATACTTCTATAAACACTTAACATTATAATGATTGTTAAATATCATCACATTTACTATAAATAGTCATGTGACATTGTTTATACAAAAGAAACCTATATCATTGAATTCTTGTGTATATGTTGTTGTTTTTTTCAATTTCCAGGAATTGTTGATCGTGAGTGATGCAACTAACAAGGAAATTGTGTACAATAGTCCAGGGGAGGTAATCCAGTCTTGTATACAGCGTGTCACTAAGGTAAATAGGTGTGATCCTTAAACAAATCATTGTCGAAGGTTTCAGATGCTGAGACAATGTATGTGAACTATCTTGAGATGGGATGGTTAACTTTTAATCTATAAATATTATTGACAACTTTAAATGTAAAAAAAATTGTTTATGTCACTAGAGAATCTGTATCATAATTTGATGAATATTATAGAGTGAATAATCTGCAATGTTTTCGCCACTGCTCCCCAAGACGATTTAAAGATTGCCAAAATATATGGTACCAAAAATTGTTGCATATTTAAATGCGAAGGATCTGATTTCATTTGGCAAAATTTAACAATTTGTGACAGTATGTGATATTTTACTTTCAGAGTACCTTTGGAAGAGAAACATCAACAGGTTTTAATATTTCATTACTTGAGGATATTATCAGCATCATAAGGGGCCCTTCCCAAGAAAGGCCTCTCGAGTACCTGACAATGGCTTTGTCAGAATTCCTACATATTATACGGAAAGCCAAAAAACGTGTATCAAAGGGTAAGATCAATTGTACTGTATCAGGAGAGACAGTTTTGTCCCCCTCTTACCCTTATAATACCCCCAATTCAAATGTTGTCCCCCTTTCACCCTTATTATATCCCCAATTCAAATGAAGTCTAATGGTTACTATTGGACTGGGGTGATCGTCGGTGACCAGGAAGCTCAATTGGTAGTGTCTGTCTAGAGTCGATGGGGTCCCAGTTTTAAACCCTGGTCTGGCCATGCTTCTTTTCCATCTCATGTTACAGTGTACCTATGATCAACTCTTGTTTCATGTATTTGGTATACACGTGGCAAGGGGATACCCGAACCAAGGTTGTAAATAGTTGTCTTCGGGAGTAAATACTTAGAAAAATGAGGGGAAATGTAGCGGCCAAGTAGCTCAATGTGGTAGAGCATCCGTCAAGAGTTCAGAGGGTCCCGGGTTTGAATCCCAGTCTAGCCGTTGCATTTCTCTTTTTTAGGTCACCTGAGCTTTAGCTCAAGTGACCTATTGCTATNGCGGGTTTGAATCCCAGTCTAGCCGTTGCATTTCTCTTTTTCCTGTTAAAAAATTGTGCTTGCTAACCCTTGTTTTAAAAAATGAATGAATGCTTGGCAGGGAGGTACCCAAACCTTGGTTGTAAATGGTTGTGTCTTCGGGCGAAAAGATAAGGGAAAAAGGAGGGAGGGATGTATTTGAACTGTATTGGGTCTATTGTAGGTGACCATATAGGTAGATCAATTGGTAAAGCTTCTGTCTGGATTTGGGAGGGTCCCAGGTTTGAATCCCGATCAGGTTGTTGCATTTCTCTTTCTCCTGATAATGTACTACATATGTATAGGAACACCATGAGAAAGTGTTGTGCCATGTACCAAAAAAGTAACATCACAACATCTACATGCACTTGACCTGTAACCTTGACCTCAAGTACCAAAATACTGGTTTTTGACAATATACAGTACATGTATCACTTAAATTATTATGCAGGGAATATGCTGGCGTACTGTTTCTTTTCATAAAATGACAACAATAACATATTAAAACGAACTGCTTTTCTTGTGTCTCATAAATACCAAGTACCACCATGGTGATGATATAATTTTTTGAAATTTTACAGGTTTGAAAATGGGCAAGTACAAGGGAGATAACTCTATGAAGAAAGATTTATTTGCATGCGAGAAGAAGGTGGATTTTTACCTGAGCTGGTTACAGAGACTGGGGATGGCACTACACACACTGGTACCAGAACTAGTCCTGGAACACAGTGAGTTTCTCAGACAGGCAGCTCATTAGGCCATCATCAGTATGTAATAACTTTATAAAATAGGTAATGTGTATGTGCTGGACTGGCTTCTAAATATCCAAACAGATCAGAGGTATCATATCCAATATAAATTATGGTTGATAATGATTTCTATCCTATAGAGAAGGTTTATATGCAAGTATATTCTAAAAAGATTATTTATTTGAATGAATGTGCACATTTGCAGCTTTTTATGTTAAAATCTGTACTTATTATAAGCCTTTAAGAAAATTCATACCAATAAAACATTGTTCCGCAGACAAATTAAGGAAAATGTACAAATTTATTTGACATTTGACAGTAAATTGCTGCAAAATTCATTCATAAATGCTGTCAAATCCCTTAAAAGTTTTGTGGAGATTTTTCAAGGTTTTATGAAAAATTGTCGATCAACATTCTAGTTTAGTATGTGATTTTATGAATGAGAAAATCATTTAAATAATTCACCTCTGAATGAAATTTCATAATGAACTATTCCAACCTTTGAATTGGAGGAGTTCAAATGTGTCTGCAGGGATGAATGAGTTAAATCTTATAAGTGAGACCCCATGATTTATACATGAAAGGAACCTAAACGTTCGGTTTACTGATTAAAGTATCTCGGGAGAAGTAACAACAATTATGAGTTACAGATTAAATACACATTGTGATGTCACCTCTTAAACAACATCCAAATTTAGCTATTACTTGTTTTCTGTTTCCAGGTGCCGCCGAGTCAGATTTGGACGACGTGGAGAAGAAGCGCTTGGAGTTGGAGGGATTCTGGGGTGGAAAACAAAAACCGCAGCAGAGGAAAATGATTGAAGAGATCACGTAGCCATAAACAAACACTGGAAACTGGAACAAGAAAGTGTCAAACAGAAACTATTGATAACGTTCCTTACAAAGTTTTTCTGTGAAACTGATATAAGATATATGTAATAGGTCAAATGACTGGAAAATGTGTTAACCTGTTCCAATACTATACAACTTTAACTTTTTAAAAAGCCTACCCAGTACCTACATTGAAATTATATCCTTTATAAAATATAATGTAGAACAAATAATTAAAGGACAGGGCAATCAAATATAGGTAGTGATCGGTCGATGAACCAGTGGAGGAATCCGAGGTGGATACCAAAGTATTCTAGAAGAACTCCACCAAAGGGAGGTAACCACAAGTAGACAGCATCAACACCTCGGATTCTGTTAAGTTGGTTATTATTTTGTTTACATGGTTCAACTTGGTAGGCAAGCCGTTTTCAGAATATTTTTTTATTCTTTATAAAAAATAAAATGTCTCGGATGTTTATTTTTTTTTTTATTGGATAAATTACTGAATACCCTGGTAATAATAAAATGTGGGAAGACTTTGATAATAATGTGAACATATATATATTAATAGGAAACGGGAATAGTCCTTAGTACTCTCACAACTAAATCGGCCAATCAGCAAGTGTTTCATACGATTGTAATCCGGACCTAAAATTTGTTCCGGTGCCTCAGAGTAATTTAGATGTGTAGATATTGACACATTTGTACAGGTATTTAATGTATAGTTTTAGTAGATTTTAAAATGTGATGGCGGATTTATGTGGGGTCAATACTCAGGGGGTGTTCCTGTTCACTGGTTGGGCTTGTACCTGTAGCGCTCTTACACTCCACTATACTCGCCAAAAAAGGCCTTTTGAAGCCTTAAGGTATGTATCTATGAATCTAGACAGCTGTCACTTGTGTTGAACTTCAAATATTAATGATATTAGCCCAAAAGCTTAGTAATAACATATGGTTAATGATTTGTTGGGGAAGTCCTTCATTATTCCTTTGCCTTGTTTTATTGTCGTATAAATTTGCAGCTCTTTGGAAATGTCTCTCCTGCATAATGTAATGCATAGAGCCGATATCAACTAAATAACATTTATATTTACTGCGTAGTGTATATATTTACTATAGTCAATATATTTACTGTGTATTTAGTTAGCTATTTTGACAAAGAAACCAGACAAAATCAAGAAAAGAAGGCAATGTTGAAAATATATTTTAATATCAAATTTATTTACAGAAAAATAAACATTTCAAATAATTGTATATAGGAACATAGTGTCCCTTCATATGGCACAAACACCCTTCTGAAATATTGGGACTGGCTAAACTCAGCTGTATCAAATATCTGTCACTCTTTGATGCAATCAGTGAAACTCACATATATATAAATTTCTGAAATGGAGTCTTTAAATTTCGAAATTGTTTGCAAAACTTTTGGATAAATCTATAATAAGTAATATCTATCAAAGAAAACTTGATACAGCTGATCTACATGAAGTATTACAATTCTGTAATTTCTGGAACCTACTGGCCTAATTGGGATATACAATGTTCAAACACCTTGATGGGTATATGATCACAAGCAAAGAGATTCTAAGTATTGATCAAATGATTAGGCCATCTCTCAACTTGTAATGGCAGCTGTTGTCAGATCTATAAGAATCTAATTGGTTTGCATAACAAATGCATGCACCAAAGTTTTATTTTGTCATGATGCATTCCAAGGTGCAGAATGGATACTTGTACCGAGTGGAACTGTTAGATTTCAAAGATGGTTTAGTCATTAAAATAATCTATCCATCTATTAAATGCAGTCATATACATAACTATTACATCATTCCAGTAGATGGTCCTGTTTGTTAGTTAACTATATATATATCATGAACAGAAGTTACTACATTGTAGATCTGTGTTAAAATATATCTGGCATGGTTATCCTGCAATTTTTAAATATTTTTTTAGATTAAAATGCTCCTGTTTAAATGCAATTTTGTATTTAATTTTTAGTTGGATATATACATGTTTTATATAAGTAGAACCTTGATTTTCAAAAAAAAAGTCTTCGATCTGAATAATTAAATTCAGTTGTAAATCTCAATGTCATATTTTAAAAAAAGATATCATCCAGTAATTCTGCTACAGTATTACAACACAATCTTAAAGCTTACCAGGTACATTAAAACATGCACTCGGCTAAAAACTAGGTCACCCTCGTCCAATTATATCAGATAAAATAAACTTCGCTGAATCATCCAGACAATAGTTTTCTATACACAATGGAATGTATCTAACTGCCTGCTGATCCAAATGGGGCGTAGCATTTCATATTCTGGTTATTAGTAAAAAAAAATCAATCTATTTATCCTCGACTGTGTTTTCAAAGTCAATATCAACATTTTACTAACCCTGACACAGGGCCTAGGGCTAGTGGAATTGTACAACCACTACAAGTATCTTTTTCATTTGATACTAATTTACTACATGTAGTAGGACCACAGCAATTTTCAGGACTTAACACATTTCTATTTCTCATCATGTTGTGTTCAGTTAACTCCCAAATCTATCAGTTTCATTGGCATATTAATTGAGTAGGTTACTTTTGGCAACATTAGCAAAATAACAATGGAAAAAGTGTTAAATCACCAATAGAAAATAATGTCAACATTCACTGATTGAATTATACTTACACATAGGATTTTACAGTATGTTTTGAACTGTTTAATAAAACATTGTAGATGCAGAATCCTTTTATACTCAGGACAATGGGGTGATGAGTTGAGTTTGGTGTCGTATTGACAATGACCTGTACATGTATCAGTCTCCATATCATTACCCCATAACCTTGGACGACAACAACATTTGATTCTGAAATGTCTCCATGCTTGTACAAAAAAACAAGAAATGTAAATAAGCCCATAGCCAATACAACTGATGTTGGAAACAAATTGAAATGCACTGAGCATGAAAAGTTTGAATATCTACAATTATTTAATGCACCTTCATATCAAGTATATAATAGCCAATTTTCAAACATTTCATTGGTTGAAATCACAAGGCAAAAAAGCAACAAAATTCTAACAAAAAAAGTTCTTCCACAATATCATACTGTAAATTATCTTAGTTTTAAGCTGTTTCATGTAAGAATGAAAATAATTTGCACCAAAGGAAAACAAAGAGGTCCTTGGGACTAATGCAAGTTAATACACTGTCAACAAAAATAAGGTTTAGGTAACAACATCTGTAGCATCAATGTCAACTTTCATTAAACAATTATCAAAGCTCAAGTTTGTTTCAAATTTAACAATCAACAAACTAACCAAGTTCAGTCCAATGTTGACATTGACAACAGATATTAAGGCATTCTGTTAAGTGTTTGAAAAATAAAAAATAAGTTCCTTCATTGTATGATTGCTTCAGGTAACAAAGGAATGTTATAGTTTCATTGTGGAAACATACAGTAAAACCTTGAAATAGTATTTGAAAGATATGGAGAGCGGACGGAAAAAACGGAATGGAAAGAAACAATCACTTCTGTTAAAGGGGAGACAACAAACTATGGATTTAATTGATGCAAGTTCCTCCGGTACAGGAGTTATCTGTCCCCAGCCGACTGTGATCAGGGAGGAGTTCGTGATGTGATCGAGCCGTCCTCATTTCCAAAGTAAGCCACACGAGCCATCTTTATAAACAATCCAGTCTCCAGCACGCCTGTAATACCCAAAGTCTACATATATAGTCAAATCTTGTTAGGGCTATTCCAATAAANTCCAAAGTCTACATATATAGTCAAGTCTTGTTAGGGCTATTCCAATAAATACACAAAACTCAACATATATAGTCAAATCTTGTTAGGGCTATTCCAATAAATACACAAAACTCAACATATATAGTCAAATCTTGTTAGGGCTATTCCAGTAAATACACAAAAGTCAACATATTTAGTCAAATCTTGTTAGGGCTATTCCAATAAATGCACAAAACTCAACATATATAGTCAAATCTTAATTGTTAGGGCTATTCCAGTAAATATATACACAAAAGTCAACATATATAGTCAAATCTTGTTAGGGCTATTCTAGTAAATACACAAAAAGTTTACATAATTACATAGTCAAATATTGTTCGACCCTAGAACTCTAAAATAAAATCCTTTTATCCATGATTTGATTTCCAGTCTATATCTATTTTATCCCAATTATTATTAACATTCTAGGAGTGGTACCCCTAAACAAAACCTGTAGCCCTGAGTTTGTACTGATATTTTTGTGGCACAGCTCTAATTAGGAAATTTCATCTCAGAGTCACTTTTAGTTTCATGGTTGTTCATCTCCAAATTTGACCAAGTTTTTTCTTCAAGGATAAACATTTATTTTGGTTATTTTGTTATTTTCAAAAGTGTTAACACTAATATGACAAGCAATTCTAAAAAGAGATTTATTTCAAGAAGCCCCCTTAATCAGGATAGCATAGCTTTGGTTTGGTTGTTTTATAATACTTAACATCCTAAGGTAATTTAAGAATGTGCTTCTGTGTGTGAAATGTATGCATGTGTACTGGAGGCAGGGTATGTTGGTGCATTTGCCTCCTTGTGATAGTGAGGATCTGATGCCGACTTTATAGTACTATCTCACTGAAATACAATGCCAAAGGCACCCAGCATAGCATTCTGCCTGGTCACATTATACTAACAACAGGTAAACTAGTTCTGACCAGGAACATGGTTTTGAACCACCACTTAACATCCGAGCTATAATACTTCAAAGAAAATTGATTGGGTAACAGGAGAGATTCGACTTTTGTTACCGTAGTCTAGAGGATGGAACAGTCCCTGATACACATTTGATTCCTTAATTACACATGAAAAGGTATGGGATCATAGGGTTGTACATCAAGCAGAATCATATGCTTCTAATACCCCAATGGCCCACTACAGGACCCCTAAAAAAAGATCACCTGTGCCCCCATGACCCCCTGAAATGACAACTTTAAAAATTACTGTCTCCAAATTTTAATGATGTGTATGTATGACTTAAAGCAATGAATACTGAAAATTATTATTCATGAGGGCCCCAAATATATCTAGGACCCCCAATTTGTAATCAAGGATGTAAAACCCTGGGATCACCTGCCAGACCACATGGGTTTTCTCCAGGAATTTGGTTTCCTCCCAACTTAAGACCCCTAACACACTTCCATCCGGGCCAGCAAGAGTGATTACTATAAGCTGATAAAATGTGTTCTATAACTGTTGTAAAATAAAGTTTATATATTTGACACACATTACCTGGAATCATCTTTATCTTCTGATTGACGACCTCCCAGTTGTGAGTATTCTCTGGTGCCACCCAGTCCAGTATAAAGTTACCGTTATCGGTTACGACTGGGCCCTACAAAGTGGAGAAACAGGATTAGTTAACAAACTAGGTCAATCAGGATATTTAGATTTGACCGTCTTTGGAAAATTTAACGTCTGTTTTCAAAAAATATATTGAATATTATTGAATATTATTGAATCATTGATTACATTAAAGTATACTTTTATAATATCATTTCACTGTTCCTGAATCTAGACAGTAACTTATACTACAGTCAATAAGCAAGAGATTTAAAAAAAAAAAAGATCATATTTAGTCAAAAGCTCAGTCAAAATTGGGTTGAATATTGATCCAGAACATTTCAGGAGGAAAAGCAAATTAAACATCGGAGTGACTGTAAGTTTTGCTACAGATATTGAATTGCCATCCTGTCTCAGTTCAAGGCTTCACCATCTGACACGATTTCTATTGGCAGTATTGTTACATTGATACTGTAAAAGTTAAAATTTTAGCATGTGGAAATGTTTGCATCAAGGCTCTTAATATTGATCGCAGTGTTGAAATTTGTGCAGTGTCATTGTTTTGAAATCCTTATATTCTATATATCAATCATTTATAAAATCAATCGACAATTATTCGCATTTAGATATTTTTTGCGAAAAGTTACTTGACATGAAAAAAGCAATCATTTCTACCATACGAAAATTTCAACTTTCACAGTATGTAGATCAAACAGGTTTAGGAAAACGGAGAGAAAGCGACTTTCTCATATTAAACAATAATTACTTTCTTAGTCTGGACATTCTGTTTCTGTGACATATGTTTGATACACACTTTTCACTTCACAGTAACACAGCACAAATTAGACACTGATCTTTTTCACCTAATGATGAGGAAACCAATTGTGCAAAAAAAAATCTGATGTATTATCTGTGCTGCAAGCCTTTTCAAACTTGTCTCTAAATACTCACTGCCTTGCGAATAGCCATCCTGAGATCTGCCTTGCCACCAAGCTCTGCTGCGACCCTGATCTGAACGGGTCTATACGCCATGGGGATTACCTCTATAGGAATGCCTTTGGTCCAGTAAGTGCCGAGGGAACCAGAATTCTTCCTGTAGAATAAAACACGGAAGGAGTGACGTCAAAAATGAATTGTGAAATCATTCACACTGCCTTGGTCCTAAATAACAAGTTTTATTAGATCGTAAAGGTCGTTGAAATCTCTGCACGATGATGATGGACGCTTATGGGAAACAGTCTATTTTAATTGACAAAGCCTCTACTATTCAGATTTTTATTGCATGAGTTGAAAAAAGCAACATGTCATGTAAAATAACAAAATAAAAATCCCATTTAAGGATCAAGTATATCATTTCTGAGAGCAAAACAAGTCAATATATGCAGGAAGATATTGGCCCACAAAAAAAACTACAATACCATTATCACAGCATTGTATGTAATGGGGACAATAACCGATGAATTATTCAACTAGGTCCAAACAGATACGGTCCAGGAACACATAACTTTGATATGTTTACAACAACCACCATTACAGTTTCCTCCTTCAAGGTATTACAGCATTGTTACCGTGACGATGATGTTGCCTCCAAACAGGAAGTTAATGACATCAGAAAACAGGTCTCCAAGTCACGTTAGGTCACTTACAGTGACATCCACAGAAAAACAATTAGAATCTGATGTAAAGAACCAATCCCAAAAATAGGTGTAGAGGAATGTTTATATTTTTCTTTTTTAAGTTTCAGAAAGATACCTAGATAGTCAGGTATACAGAGACTCTTTAAACGTAAAGCATACATATATATCTTAACGTAAAGCATACATATATATATTAACGTAAAGCATACATATAAATCTTAACGTAAAGCATACATATATATCTTAACGTAAAGCATACATATATATATCTTAACGTAAAGCATACATATATATCTTAACGTAAAGCACATATATATCTTAACGTAAGGCATACATATATATCTTAACGTAAAGCATACATATATATCTTCACGTAAAGCATACATATATATAACAGAAGAGAAGCTACTCCTGAATCCAGATTTCCATAACTGTATTAGTGCGGACTAGTTTCAACCTGTCATCAAAACAAAGGGTTTCGGTGACTGCTACCCAGACATCACCAATAGAGATAGACTGATGATCTATCATAATCGAAAATTGATTGGTTTGCCTTTTCCGATTCTGATTATCGATTACATTTTCCATTATAGATATAATAGATTAGATTCTTCATTAAAATCAATATGTTAAATGTTTTCAATTCAAAAAATGTATTAAAAGTCATACATTCGTATGATTTTTACTATATGATTGATAAAACTGCATAAAAACTGCTTACAATCCATTCATTATAAAAGAACGAAACCTGGTGTATAGTTAACAGATGTCTGTTGATGTTATGGTAGTGTTCTAACTTTATTTGTGTATTCAGTCCCATAAAATTATGAACCGATTAAGCAATCGATCATCGATCGGTTTACTACTTCCGATAACAAACCGATTATGCAATCGATCATCGATCAGTTTACTTCTTCCGATAACAAACTGATTATCGATTATGATTTTAAACTGACTGCCCATCACTAATCACCATGTAGCAGTCATGAAGCTGTGCTCTGACAACAGCCTTCCTTCTTTTTAGATTTTGTTTAAGTCCACATTCTTTGATGACCTACCATAGACCCAGGGAAATCCTAATAAACCATTACATACCTATAGTCAGCTATGATGATAAAATCCTTGGCACACGAGGCGACAATCTTCTCCTGTGTCAGGCAGCCCCCTCCACCCTTTATACAGTTGAGGTCATCGTCTACTTCATCTGCACCGTCTATAGCGATGTCAAGCTATCACAAAACCAAACATAAGCGATGTCACCATATCACAAAACCAAACATTAGCGATGTCACCCCATCACAAAACCAAACATTAGCGATGTCACCCTATCACAAAACCAATCATTAGCGATGTCAAGCTATCACAAAACGAAACATTAGCGATGTCACCCCATCACAAAATGAAAAAATTAGCGATGTCACCCTATCACAAAACGAAACATTAGCGACGTCACCCTATCACAAAACCAAACATTAGCTATGTCACCCTATCACAAAAGGAAACAATAACATACCATACTAGTCATCGAAATGTCACACATTAACACATAAATACTTAACTGGTTTGTACTACATGAACTTTTCTATAATCCATACTTCCTGAAGAAAATGTTCTAGAAAAAGAAACAAGTTCTTATCATACTCCTAATCTATAGATATCTCAAGCTGTGAATGAAAATTTACATGTGTACAGCAAAATTAAGTGCCAGCTTAAGAAAAATTTCCAAGTAATTTTTGACACAAAGAGGGTTAATTTCAGAAAATTTGATCTCTTGTGACCTACTATATATCTATCACAGTTACCATGCCTACACTACTCTCCAGTGTTAGAACCATGTGACCTGTGGTGACCTATATAAGGGTTGCCATGCCTACCCTACACTCCAGTGTTAGAATCATGTGATCTGTAGCTACTTATATCAGGGTTGTCATGCATGCCTACCCTACACTCCAGTGTTAGAACCATGTGACCTGTGGTGATCTATATCAGGGTTGCCATGCCTACCATACACTTCAGTGTTAGAACCATGTGACCTATATCAGGGTTGCCATGCCTACCCTACACTACAGTGTTAGAACCATGTGACCTGTGGTGACCTATATCAGGGTTGCCATGCCTACCTTAGGACAAGTCTCCAGACTGCTCAATGTTAGATTGTTATCCTGGATCAACTGTTTAGCCTGGAAATGAAGTTTTAAGTTTATTGAAATATATATTTATGAAGTGCCAACATTTGGGAATGACAAATATTTATAGATGGCCGGTACACAGCAGACACAGAAAGTGTTAAACGTTCCTATTACTCCTGCAACAACATCTGTTTCCAAACAAGCACGACAGTTTATATCTTTCTGGGTTCAGGCAATTTTAAAACACTTAAATAGGCTGAACAATTTAAACTAAGTTATTGATCCTTAGGATAACATGCTTGTCACGAGGACACGCTGGAAAGAATTTTTAATTTGTAAGTTTTTGTTTGCAAATGAATAAATAGTGTTTTAAAGTTATTCTTTCAGAGAAAGTGATGACATGGAACCTCTCTGAATATATCTTCATCCCAAAATGTTCACATTTTACATAAGTGAACAACTTACACCAGATTTTTACATGGTCTGTTACCTGAAATGAGGTAGGGACACATTGTAGTTGTAGCTTTTCTGATTTTACACGTTCCGCTACAAAACAATAAAGAGAAGTATCAACACACAAGTTCAGTTTGGGGAGATCCACTTACATGCTTCACCTGCGATTCCCCTGGTACCTGGCAACTGCCCGACGTAGGCCTTGAACCCGTGATTCAGTGGTGGGCATATGGAGGGCTAGTGATCATAGCAATCAGTCGCTTTAACCACTTCACCCCAGCTGCCCCTCTCTCTAGACTCCGATGCCTTATAAACGACAAGACTCCATGGTATCTATAAATACACCTCTTTCCTTTTCAGCTATGGGTTATAATTTGAAAATAGATCTCGTTATTTTATTTCCCTTTTCCTTTTGATTGTTTTGCACCTATTTTGCTGATGACTTTATTTTTTTGCGGATTTTTTTTTTTTATCAACTCATGTTGGGACTAGATTATAATGGTCTGGAACAAGATTATTCTGGACCTGGACAAGATTTTTCCTCCACCGTCAAAACCTGGCTTGTCCTTAAATGACCATATCTGTAAGAAGGACTTAAACCACAAACAAACCAAATTAAATCCTGCATGTCTTACTCTTACCTATTCTCTCCACTGCAAACACAATGGTTGAGCCACTTCCTATGCCAACAGCCTGGCCTGTCTGTAAAGACAAATACTTTTGTTGTGATGTCTGGTAGTTTAAGACATATCCTTAGCCTACAAAAGATGTACCTCTAAATGGATTAGCCTTAATCTATGTACAATTCAGACCTGCCACACTACTCCCCCCTTTTTAAATGTGTTCGCCCTCGAACACCACAATCCTGGTCACGGCACCATTTGTAACAGGAAAGAGAATAGTGTACGTGCTCCTGGGATCAAACCCTCGATCTCCAGGTTCCTAGTAGGACGCTCTACCACCAAGCTAAAGGGAAATTCACTCTAGCTCGAAGCTAGAAGGCGATATTAAACTATGTACAATTAAAACCCGACACACTGCAAGCATTTTATAATTTAATATCCTCACTCTTGTTTTTAAGTGAAGTTGTGCATCTGGTAGAATTGTCAACCGCTGATCCAAAGGCAATTATAAGTGTAAATGATTGCATGAACAACATTTAAATGAAAAGTCATGCAATGATTGACTCAATTATTTTTCAAATTCCTTGATCTTCAATTATTGTCCACCATGTGGTATTCAATAACATCTGAATAACTGGCTCTGTCGTGCATTTTTCTGCACTGGAGTATATCAAAATCGGTGCATGTCATCGTGATATCCATGAAACACTTAAGCTTGTTTCTGGGTGCATGAATGCTTGGCAAGGGGATATCCGAAACTAGGTTGTAAATAGTAGTCTTCGTGGGCAAAGACTTGGAAAAAGAAACTGGAAAGGGTTGATTGCGGGGTACGTAACTTTCCCTTTAGCTCAGCGATAGAGCATCAGGCTGGAGAGCCAAGGGTCGTGGGTTTGAGCCACAGCGACGGCACTATCTTTATCATATTCCTTGTCCTACTCCAAATTCAGGTGCTGCTGACCCTGGTTGGGAGTCAAAGAACCGGGGTTGGTGTTTGAAAAAAGGGGGGAATAGTGTAAAAGAAGTGGATTAATTAGGTTGCCTTAAAAGCGTCAGCTGTAGGGAATTTCCTTTTAGCTCTGCGGTAGAGCATCAGGCTGGAGCCAAGGGTTGTGGGTTAGAGCCCCACAGCGACAGCACTATCTTTTTCACTTTTCCTCGTCCTACTACACATTTTACCCAAACTCATATATTATACATATCTAAACAAATAAAATATCCAATCTATTTTCCTTTCCTACCAACAATCATAGTTAAAACACTTGGCTTGGCTTCCCACTTACCCTCCCCACCCACCCCCACCCCGATTACTGCACGACATCGCTATTCTCAGAAAGATAGAGAAAGAGAGGTTCTAACACATCTTCGATTTCTGAAAAAAAAGTTACGAATTCTGTGCTGGTTCGAATCAAAACCTTTCGACTCCTTATCTTTATGTAAAATTATGAGCATAGCGCTCTACAGCAACGTTAAAATGCAACCTTGATGTGATTGTCCACGGCCGCCCGTGCCGCTGCTCTCTTGCCAGCCTCCACTCCTGTCAGACCGGACGACATTGCCCTGGTCACGGTCAGCCCTTCCACTACTTTCCCTGCAAACCGCGTTAGGTTCCAGTGCCTGCACATGTTACGGAAGCTCACATCTCATCAACGCCAAGGAAATGGAAGTCGTCAGATACATCCCGAGTAATGGCGCGTATACGATACCTTCCGAAAGTTGTTGTAGACTTGCACACGTCATTTTTTCGCCACATGTAAAAGTGATATTTACCTTTTGCATCACTTGACGAAACTGCTGGATTGAAGATTATACCAATTTTTAATTGCCTGCCATCAACGGACTTTGGTTGCGCAGGGATTAAAACTATTTACACTATATCAAGCTTTTACACTATATTTTATTATGAATAATTGTTTATTATAACAATAATGTATGTATGTTTAGAATATTTATGTATATACACTCAAATTTACTATGGGGAGTAACTAACATTTTAGTGGCAATTATGTTTGTTACCGTTTCTTTTCTTTTAATGTTAGAGATCCCATGTGGTTCATTAATGATAAAAGGAAGGACAGAACTTCCTGGGTTGATTCCTCCACAGTGTGTTAAAGTTTGACTTGAACTCGTTTAGTGTTTTTGACGACACAGTTTCTTCGGGTAGACTATTCCAGACCTTCACTCAGTTACTAAAGACATTCTTACTAGTGTTTAGCCTGAAAGGTTACTTGAATATTTTTTTATAGAGTCACCTCTAGTGATACTAAGTGATGTTGGACGAAACATTCGCCCGTAGTCTAACCGGTCAATCCCGTTCAATATTTTGTAACGCTCGACCACATCTGCCCTCTCACGCCTGTATTCCAGAGATGGTAGACCTAGTGTTCTTAAGCGTTCATGGTACGGCATATTCTGTATTTCTAGTACTCTTTTAGTGGCTCTTCGTTGTACATTTTCGATAGCTATTTTGTCCTTATTTAGATACGGTGACCACACTTGCGTAGCGTATTCCAGATGTGGACGGATAAGGGACTTGTACAGAAAAGTTAAGTCTCTCTTTTAGTTTTAGTTAAACTTTTCATAGAAAATTACACGGTTTATGTGATTTATAATTTAGGCAAGTTACATAAAAACACACGCAGTAAAACAATCATGATTATAAATTCACATTAATTGACAAAATCTAAAATAAAATGTACAATGTGCATAGCTTTTAAAATGAATGTTATTAAAATCATGGACTTTTATCAACGTACGAACGTATCCCTATACTGAATTTTTGTTCGGTTAAAATTACTTATACTGCTTCAGCATGGCTTCCCAAGGACAACTCAAAAGTCAATTATTTGGTAGAGATAGAGACATATAAACCCATATATAGTACTGTAAAATGCCAAATAATTTAACAATTGTGGACTTCAGTTTCGATCAATCCCTGATTTACGGACCTGGTCTGAACAATATTCACAGAGGCTGAAGGCCGAGATAACGGGTTTACATGTGTTCATCGTCCACATGGAAAAAAATTATCCTGATATGATATTAAGCAGAAGAAGACCTGATCCTGGGTAAATCACAATCATATAAATCATGAAGATATAGCAAAACTAGTATTACGTTATTTGTGTCAAACTCAGAGCATGGCCTGGGAATTTACAAAAAGGAGGTTATATTATTACTTTTAACTATGTTTGGGGGAAAATCACGGATCAGTTTAAACAATGAATTCAACAAGACAAACATATAAAATTTTCGCAGACTCCCCTCATTTGGTTTGGTTTAGTACTGTTTAACGTCCTATCAACAGCTATATAGTCATTTAAGGACAGCCTCCCCTGTGTGCAAGGTGCATGCGTGTAGTGTATGCGTGTGAGTTTTGGGAGGCTGCGATATGTTCATGTTTGTCTCCTTGTGATAGCGCGGAACTGATGCCGATTTTATAGTGCTACCTCACTGAAACATACTGCCGAAGACCCAGCAGGACATCCCACCCGGTCACGTTATACTGACAACAGGCGAACCAGTCGTCCCACTCCTAAATTGCTGAGCGTTAAGCAGGAGTAGAAACTACCATTTTTACAGACTCTGGTATGTCTCGGCCAGGGGACAGAACCCAAAGCCTTCCTCAGGCGAACGCTTAACTTAAGGCCAGAAGTGAGGCATTGCCAAGGGAGACATTAGAAAGAAGAAAGTTTTTTAGAAAGAAGAGAAAAGATAAGATCCCAAATTCAGTCGCCTTTTACGATCATGCAATGGGGGCAGCAGGTACAATTCTTACTCCTAATAAAATATATTGGATGGGAAACATACTGTTATTTATAAACTAAAAAAAAACATTATATTTATCCGTTTTACTAGCTGTTGCACTGTCATGTACGGTTGTAACATGCTTATTGCCTCATTTATTCTCGGAAAGTATAGAAAAGTGAATCTAGAATCTAAATAGATCTAATGTATCAGTAAACATTATCATGTGACAAGCGTAATCAGACGACACTTTAAACCGAGCGAAGATCTAGAGAGAGCACATATTTGTAAAGTTTGACGACCTTTTCACACAATACAATACAATATACAACATTTATATAGCGCCCTATATAATTTGTAAAATTACTCTAAGGCGCTTTACAACATATGGATAATAGTAATGGTTATAATTGTGAAAACAAACAACAAAGGCTTGCAATCACTTTCATACATTTAACAAGCAATGTGCACATAATTGAACAAATAAAAGGGTGGTATTTACATGACGTCTTTGCAAAGATTCTAAAATGCAGACGTGAAGAGGTGAGTTTTTATGTCCCTCTTGAACTTGGCCAGGGTATTCGACTTCCTAATAGCAGATGGTAAGCTATTCCACAACGTAGCCGAAACCCTCCCAAAGCATCTGTTTCCGTAGGTCACAGTACGAGATTTTGGGACACACAACAAAGATTCTGACTCCGACCGCAGTGATCTTGACGGCTGATACAGGGTAACAAGTTCCTGTAGGTACTGAGGAGCTGTTCCATTCAGTGCCTTGTATGTGTATACCAGAATTTTGTACTGCGACCTGTATCGTACAGGTAACCAGTGCAACGAATAAAGCGCAGGTGTGATGTGCTCTCTCTTTCGAGTACGAGTAACTAGCCGTGCTGCAGTGTTCTGAACCCTCTGCAGACGACTAGTTAGTTTGTCAGATATACCACAGAGCAGGGCGTTACCATAATCCAACCGAGAGGTAACAAGTGAATGCACCAAAATCTTGCATGCATCTGCAGTTAGAAACTGCCGAATACAGCCGATGTTCCTGATCTGGTAGTAACAGGATTTGGCAATAGCGTTCACTTGTTTCTCCATGTTCAGAGAACTGTCAAAGTATACCCCTAGGTTTTTAACAGCTGGAACAGTCTCAATAGTTCTGGCACCAACCTTGAGCTGGAGAGCCATTGTTTGCTGACACTTTGGGGAAAAGACGATTAGTTCCGTCTTTTCCTGATTAAGTTTAAGCATGTTGGCGTTCATCCAGATACTGATATATGTCAGACAAGCTTCCAGACTTTCTGTGACTGTATTCCAACACACAAAACCATTTCACAGCATTCACAAAGAATCATTCGAGAAACTTTGGAGACACCAGTGGATTTCAGAGGAACTTGTGACTATCGAAAGATACACGTATACGGTATGTGCTTCCACATATACAATCTGGAAATATAAGGTATGTCAACATTTATTTACACTGACCACGCGGCTTTTTCGTCCTTCTAGGCCTCATTGGTGATGCTTGGCGCCGAAAAGGTGGACATTCAAACGAAGCATTTTAAATGTAAAGCAAAATGCAGAAATAATATGGAAGACAGCATCAATGTGAGCAAAGATGTAAATGAAGACATTACCCTGTCGCCACAACTGTTCATATTGGTCGTGGACTTATTAATAACGCTAACTGAAACAAACTCCAGACGGGGTATTAAGTAGACACTGACAGGAAATCTGAAGGAGCCGGGCTATACAGACGATACTGGCTTATTTCCATACCAACATGTAAAACAAAATACCAGAGGATGGTGACTTCCGCTGTAGAATCAGACCTGACTGTTTACACCGCCAAAACAAAAGTGCTACTGAACAAGAACAGGATATCGAGAATATCTCCACTTTAAACAATGTACAAGTAAAAGAAGCTGTAATGATCACTTACCATGAAAGAATAATAACAGCAGATGGATGGTCAGAAAAAAGCTGAATTCAGGGATACACAGAAGAGGTAATGTTGTAGAAATAACTGTGAGGGCTGATACAAACAACGTGCCAATAACTACAATTCTACGGTACGATGCCATAATACGAATTTGATTTCATTTATTGGAACTAACGTATTTTGATCAAACGTAAACTTCATGCTTTCTACTTTTTACACTCTTACATGTATATTGTAAGAGGTGTGTGCGTGTGTTAAGTTACGTATATCATTCTTTCCCAAGAATCGCGAGCGATCATACACATATTTATTGACAAAGAACATGACGAAGGCTATACTGAGGATTAAATCGGGAGGATGATTCAGTTCTTGAATGATGCAAATTGTTGAGTTCTGAGGCGAATTTCTCAAATATGCTGTTGGTATATACTTGAGGATGAGCTGTGTTCCTCTCTTGGCCGGCTTGTTGTGATAGGGGTCTGATTTTTTTTTATCAACGATTGGTTTTATACCAGGTAAGGAAGACACTGCAAAGTTATTCAATTTCACTCCCATTATATAAACGATGTGTTGTCTTTAAAGTTGACTGTAACACACACACACAGGTAATTGCACGTGTAAAACTTTGTAACAATTACAGAATACCTGAAATGCAACAAAATGTATTGATCACGTCAATCGATTATTCCCACCTAAACTTGACATCAAGTACATAACAGACATCTACATCAGCCGATTTCCCAATTTTACCTACAACATGAACGTTCCCTTTCTTGATAGTAACAGTTTTGCTACTACCACCTTCGGTGCTTACATGCCGCATTTAACATCATATTATATCTGACCTTGATTTACAAGGCGGGTGTCGTCAATAAGGAAGAATACATCTGGTCTTATTATTCTTGAGCTTTTGAACGGGTCTCTATTTAAACCTCTCATGTGTGCATTTTTGCCAAAGTGTCCTT